GTGTCGTTTTACCTCTCGCTTTCAGAATCTCCGCGGTAATTCCTTCCTTACTTGACGCTTTGTCGTTCTTAAGTTGCTGGAGAGCCATTCAAATCTCACTCTGACTGACGTCCGGGATACCATCTGAGTAGGGTCTAATGAGACTTGCCCTTGGGTTATTACACAGATGTAAGTGCGGTCCTATAGGCGATGTGTATAGCTATCTATTAAACTTCTTGACCTAACTCAAAATTTTTTGTCGCCCATGCATTTAAATAATAATAAACACAACTGGTTTCATAGCTAAAAACATTTTAGAACATGAATTATTACAGCATATTAGAATTTAAAATGAATTTATTACATTTTTTTTAAAAGATTTTAATGCCTATTATATTTTAAGATTAATTTGAGACTGAAGTTGACTTTGAAGAAGACTGACTTTTAAGTGATTACTGTGACAAATACATTGTGATGAAGAATCAAGATGCGTATTGATACCGTAGGCAACGTGACGGAGTACCGTGTTGCTCTGCTAGGTACTTTGCGTTGAAATTTTGAAATATCTTTAAAGTTAAAGTTACAGTGATTAAAGCTACTTTTACGGATTTTATCGCGTTTTATTTATATTAATTTTAATACCCGACGTTTCGGGTGCTTTCCAGCACCCATGGTCACGGGGGACTGAGGTGACTGACGTCCCGATGTCAAAGTTAACCCGGAGTACCTTCAGCTTTTTAATTATTGTCTTTGGTCCGATCTACGCAGAATGAACTAACTGTATTTTGAAGTCTTGCAGTGGTATGCTTGGGTTTAGTTTTAATTTTATTAATTATAGGATCCCAAGCAGGTGGTAGTACCCAGCCTCTTCTCTATTGAAATTAGGATGTTTTTTAATTTCAATAGCCTCACGTATCATCCTTGGTAGGAATCGATGTTCTTTCGCGAGGATTTGTGGTCTATCAAATCTGATGTAATGGTTGGGGCCATCTAGAATATGATCGCAAACTGCAGACTTCCCGGAACGTTGATGCTTCACGTCAGCTATGTGTTCTTTTACGCGGGTTCTAATTGATCTCTTTGTTTGCCCTATATATGAGAGACCACAATCGCAATCAAACTTGTACACTCCTGCATCTTGTAGAGGAATATGACACTTGACGGATGGTAAGAACTGACTAATCTTCTTCGGCGGCTTGTAGAATGTTCTAATAGAAGCTCGCTTCAAGATGTAGCCAATCTTGTCTGTGACACCTCTGACATATGGTAGTATAGCAGGCACACGCTCAACTGTGGCCGGCTTCACTCGGTCACTGTGACGGAGGCGCGGGACCCGAAGCCTGTTGTCGTGCAGAACCTGCTTGACGTGCTGAAGCTCGGCGGCCAGGTGTTTGCTGTCACAGATCCCTCGTGCTCTCTAGATTCTCAAAGAAGCTCAAAGATTTGCCCACGGTAGCTAACTGTGAAGGATGATGGTAAGATTCACCATTTAAGTATCGGTTTGTATGGGCTCTTTTCTATACACAGTATGACCTATGGTTGTTGTTAGGACTTCGGATGACTAACACATCTAGGAAAGCTAAGGAATTATTTGCCTCTAACTCCATAGTAAATTGAATTTTAAGGTTTATGGAATTAAGATGTTCTAAAAATGCAGTTACTTTGTCTGATGGACATCCAGAGTTAGAGGCAAATAATTCCTTAGCTTTCCTAAATGTGTTAGTTAGATTTGATAGACCACAAATCCTCGCGAAAGAACATCGATTCCTACCAAGGATGATACGTGAGGCTATTGAAATTAAAAAACATCCTAATTTCAATAGAGAGGCTGGGTACTACCACCTGCTTGGGATCCTATAATTAATAAAATTAAAACTAAACCCAAGCATACCACTGCAAGACTTCAAAATACAGTTAGTTCATTCTGCGTAGATCGGACCAAAGACAATAATTAAAAAGCTGAAGGTACTCCGGGTTAACTTTGACATCGGGACGTCGGTCACTCAGTCCCCCGTGACCATAGGTGCTGGAAAGCACCCGAAACGTCGGGTATCAAAATTAATATAAATAAAACGCGATAAAATCCGTAAAAGTAGTTTTAATCAATGTATAGTGTTCGCGCAAATATAAGAAATCATTAAAGTTACAGCTTATATCCCACTTCTGGACACAGGCCTGCTCTAATTCCTGAAAGGGTTTTAGGGCATGGAAATGTCCACCGCGTTGTCCCAATGCGCGTTGGTGAACTTCACATGTTTTCGAAATATAATTTTTTCTTATTTCTCTGATATACAGTTTTCCTCACGATGTTTCCCTTCATCACCGAGCACGTGGTAAAATGGCAATTAACAACTTCTTTGTTGCCGACGGGGATCGAACCCGGATTACTTACGTACTGTGAAATTTACAGCGAAATGCTGCGAAAGCAAGTTAAACATTATTAATTTTGAAAAGTTATTTAGTCCCTGGTCCAAAGGTTTTACTAACCCTCCTTTACTATAAAAATTGTTAATTTTCGATCCACCTATCGTAATCCTGTTGTCCCGGGTCCTGTAGATTCGGCTTACCTACTCGTGTGTGCTATGGCTTACTTATATGCTTACGATCAGTATTTAGCGTTCAGAAGTTTTTGCTTTCCACTTGTTAGGTTGTAGAAAAATATTCACATAAAAAAGTAATTTAATTGGACAGATTGACGTCATTTCCACTGTCACGACTTGATTGAGTTTTTGCCTAGGTAGGTTTAAATTAAATTTAAATTATTAGTTTTACACTAATTTATAGAATTGCCTACAAACTCGTTAATAGAGTTATGTTTTATCAAATGTTTAAGTACCCTAGTTCTTAGACCATAAATATTTTTCTGTTTAATTTTTATTTCGTAGACGTAGAAAAAGTTTTAAAATTTGAATGTACACTAATAATTTCAATATTTTCTTATTTAGTATTTCGTAAACTAACAGCGGACGAAATAGGGATGTGCGATGAAATCTAGTAAAAAAATTGGTTGATTCTGCAAGTCATCCCTAGAACTTCCCGTTAATTTCAAATGTAAAGTGCTCCAAATTTCACCAAATTATGACGTTGAATATGAAATATCGGAGTTATTAAAAACAATTCAAAAATTTTCGTTTCACGAACAAATCAACCGATTTTGACCGGACCGGCGGCTATCGACGTGGTTTTTCATGGTTAAAAGCTGATTAGTTTTTGGAATCGATCGGTGAAACCATTTAAAAGTTATTCCAAAAAACAGTTTTTGAATTTTTTTATTTTTAAAAATTCTCAAAATCTACCGGTCCGAATAAGTTAAAATTCATAGGGAATCTAAATTTGGTGAAACACTAGAAATCCGCTTTGTTAATTTCAATCGGTCAAGGTGAACGTCAACGTCGACGAAAACGTCAAGATTTGATGAAAACTCAATTATAGAAAAACGGGGTAAAAACAATAACTTCTCGATTTTTGATAATTTTCTATTTTCTTAGCGGGGGGTTAAAATGAACTCATAGTGTGCATGGTGCTAGGGATCTTGTGATCATAATAGTACTTTGTAGTATTTAAAAAAAGAAACTTATCATGAAATATAATATGATTTGCATATTGTTGTCGTTTTATTACTTTTAAGCTTCGAGACTTAAGATGGGATATACTGTTAATGTGTAATATAACCTTATGCCTCTATATAATCCATGCGCCATAAACTTTATTGTTCCTTTTTCACAGTAAAGGAACGTAAGGTTCTTTGGAAGTTTAATTGTCTGCCGTATATTACGATTTTTTATAGGAGAGGTCAAACGAGCCCATGAACAGCTGCAACACCAGGGAATTGCAGATGCGTTGCTGGCCTTTTAAAAAGGAGTAGGCTCTTCTTTTGAAGGTCTCTAAGTCGTATCGGTCCAGAAAAATCTCTAGTGGTAGTGGATTCCACTAGGAAGTTGTGCGAGGAAGAAAACTTCTTTTAAATCGCACAGTGGTGGACCGCCAGTCTTCCAGATGGTATGGATAGTATCACGAGTTTTGTGGCGATGTGCGATGGTGAAATTGTGCGGCTGGAATTCGTCCGAACAATTCCTCAGAGCACTCCCCGTGGTAAATGTAATAAAATACGCGAAGAGATGCAACATGTCTTCGCTGTGCCAGTGAGTCAAGCCGATCGGAAAGAGCTCGGTTGCCGACGTTTCGAACAGCTCTACGCTGGGTGCGATCAAATGGACGAAGTTGGCACTGGGGAGACCCAGCCCGGAGATGGGAACAGTATACCATGTGCAGCCAAACCTTTGCGCCTTGTAAAGTTGCAGGCGGTGTGCCGGCATGAAATATTGTCCCGCTCTGCTGAGCACGCCAAGCTTTTCAGAGGCCAATTTGGCCTTCTCTTCCAAGTGACAACGAAACCGTACGTCACTCGATATGTCGACGCCGACGATTCCGATACTGGCTGAGGCATTAAGATAGTAGCCACCTTAAAATAGTAGAGTTCTCCTGGAACTAGTAGAGCCTCTGCCCTTTTATGAGTTAGGTAATCCAGAAGATCAGCAGCTGAGCGACCCCGACGGAAACCGTACTGGCTTTCACTAATCAGCTGGTGTTCCTCAACGTACCGCATGAGCTGGCTGTTAATAATGGACTCCATTATATTAGAGAACAAAGAGGTGACACAATTGGCCTATAGTTTTACGGATCAGAGCGGTTACCTTTTTAGGGATCGGGTGCACGAAAGCTGTCTTTCATAATTTTGTGCAGATTAATTGTAAAGGCGTCAAAATCGGTGGTGCCAACTTCGGAGCACACGTCTTCAGGACAAAAGCGGAATCATACTTCTTTTTAAAAGCGCTGGTATTTACGTCTCGAAACGTCAATGCGTCGGCCCAGGCCTGGTAACACTCCTGTTTAATTTTGCAGGAGCGACCAAACCATGGCTGGGTTCTGCCTTCAATATATGTGTCAGATGCAAACTTATTTCGATTCTGAATCTATGTATCAATACTATCAAAAGTACAGTAAAATCGATTTTGTTACAGGTCCTCTTAGTCCACGAAGCGTCGAAAGGCAGTTTTTCTCGAGTCTTCGACTTGGAGGCTGGTGACGAAACAAATCTTGGAACGCCGCGGACGTCGCCATATGAAAGTCGGTTTCCTATCAATATCGGCATTACGGGTTACGTAGCAACTACTGGGGAAGTGAGTATTTAATAATGTCGCATTGTGGTGGTTTGCTTCATCTTTATTTATTTATCTTTCAAAAACATTTAATCATTACATCAACGCGCAGTGAATTTTCGAAAAATCTGACCAGTATTTTAATGAAAGTAAAACTTTGTAAACAATTTTACATTAAAAAATATATGAAGTATCCAGAGTTCAATGAAATATATTTATCTATAAGAACTTTATTGTATACATCACGAATGTTTATTATAATTGTCCCCTACCTTAGCTTAAAATTGAGAACCGTCATGCTTTAAGACGCTTCCTCCCTGTCCATCGAATAAATTTGGAAGTATATTTAAAATGGTCTTTGATCAGGAAACATAAAATATATAATATGGCAACACGTATGTCAGTAAAGATTCATAAACAATGAACTGTTTCCTTTATAATAGCATCTTTGTAACTCTGACCTCGAGTCGATTGTCACAATCTTTGTAAAGTGGAGAATAATGTTACCGTGTATTATATACTTATTATCTCTGTATTTCACTTTCGCAACTATATTTCTATAAGTAGTTCTCTTCATCATGATTTGAGTGAACCAAATATTTAGTAAATGCTATGCATGAGTACGCTTATACGTATAGGTACTGTTGCTTCAAGGTAATTTTTAAAAACCCCTCTTTAAATAGTTATTTAATTAAACGATATTTAAAATGTATTCCATGTAAGCAATGGTCTATGAGTAAGTTATGAATACGTATGCCGACCGCTTTAAAGTACTGTAGTTAGTAATTAATTAAATATTTCATATTAGTTAAGATAAGTACGTATAATTAATTAAGGCACTTGATGCATATTTATTTCATGTTATTAAAGATATTATTAAAATGATGTTATCAAATATATATTCGTATTTTTTGACTGTCGTAATTTTTGATAAATGAAAAATTAAGTTAATTAAGTTAACAGACAGTAAAAGACTCGATGATAAATGAAAAAATCGGCTTGTCTCAATGGTTTCATAGCTTTGTAATTATTCATTATCACCATGCTTCGTCTCGTCTTACACTCGTTTCTTCCCAAGAATTTTAAAAGGGCTAATGAAATATAGGATCATAATGATCACATAATCTCTCACGCCTATCACATAAGGGGGAATCGTTGGCAATCTCCCTTCTTACACGTCTATATATCTACGCATAAAAGCTATTCGGTTAAAGGTGCTCTTAATATAGGCCATCTTAAATGTATCGCCCATTTAGTCGATAAACTCCTATCTAGAGCGACCAATGCCGACTCTACCGATCGAATCTTGTTGGCGATAGAGGTATAATAGGCGCTAAATTGCAGAAACTGTATGGCAAATAGTTTTTGTGTAATCTGGTATAACTACTCGACTTGGTGATTATAACTGATTTCCACTATTTATGCAATTTTTAGAACCACTACCAGATACCGCTAGTTTCCGCAAATGCTGACATCATTTGTATGCGGTGCACCCAACTATTTAACGAACGATGCTCTGACGACCGACTGTTGGTAGAAAATACATCCAAAAACGCTGAACCCAAATTTCACAGCCGAACGATGGGAAGCAGAATTAACAGTAACGGCTGACTCTCGGAAGTACGACTGTCGATCATGTGGTGTCGAGCTCGACTTCCACATCTCGCAAAAATTAGTTCTTGGGACTTTCTATCAAGAAATTCTTAGTAGATTATTTTCCTTGATTTTTAATTACTGGCAGTATATGGAATGCTCCTGTGTTTGCGCAAACTCTCAGAACTACAATGCTATCCTACCCTTTTAGCCAGTCTTCAGTAAGACTAGCCGACGTGACCGAAATTTGATCTAGAAAACATTCTCCTTTACATAAACCCATTGCCATATTTCCCTCCGTAGGTGGGTGCCCTCCCCCTCCCCCAAGAAGCGAGAAATGCTAGGAAGGTCACACCATCATCTTCATCATCGTAATAGCCTAAACATAGGACTCAAAAACTGCCACAAAGCACGTTCCTGAGCTATCCATCGACTACCTGCATCTCTTACCAGGTCGCCACTCCATCTGTTGGGAGTCACATGAATTCCGATAAATGGCGTTTTAATTAGGACAAATATATTTATCCTAAATCTTAATATTTCTATGATTTCCAAATCAATAAATTTTGTATTGATTTAACACCGTGACTGTATAGCCTGAAGTTTATTTTATCGAAGTCGGTTGCATAGGATGCAATAGTCACTTACCATTAGGCTAAGTCCTAAATGGCAAGCCTTCGGCGGTGCATGTGGCGCGATGGCGCATTTTTCTTACAAACTCGAGCGACCGCCACTCAGGGTTTTGCTTGTGTTCGTGATGTCGCCACGATCCCTACTGAGCACTTAGGCATAAGTGAACTGTTAAGTCGTTAATCGCTCTAATAGTAAAAGGTCCATAAGTTTATCTTTATATTTATAATTATTTATTATCAGTAATTTGACGGCTCAGTGGCGAAGTGATTGATTGCGGAGCACCAAGCTGTGACTACTAAACCCGCACGTAACAAGTGTTTGTATGGGCTACAAGCCTACAAGTGATTGTTCCGCGTCTGAATGTTTGTTCATGTGCGTAAAACGCCGCCTCCACAGTACAAGAGAAAATTCCAGTGTTTCTAATTATGTTTATATAATTATGAACATTCATAATGCACTCATATGGCAAATAAAATAAATAAATAAAAAAAAACTGTTTGTTTATGTATTAATTTATATTTTAGGTTATTTATCTTTTTTAAACAACGGCCTAAACGTACTTTAGCAGTTGTCGAGTGATTTACGACGTCTAACGCAAAGTATGTTTTATATATTTTACGTTGAGCTTTTATTGGGGTCAATGTTATTTTTTATATCTTCGTTGTAAAAACATGACGCTCGTGCTCTATACAGTGGAAAATAGGTTTTAGTTTTATAAATTGAATCGACGATCACTTCACCGACTTCTTACAAGATAATAACCTAGGTATATTATATACGATACGATGTTAATAAACAGAGCGTCAAGTATTAGTGCTTAGTACGAAATTTTAAGTCCCCTTTATGTCTAGGAGCCCGTATCGGTAGGTACCTTCTTAACTATTTTTTGTGCTGACAAATAGCGGTGCCCTCACTGCAGCTGTGTTTATGTCTGAATGGTATAGATGGCCAGTTTAGTTACGGGATTAAAGGCATTCTGTCTTACTCGTCAGAGGTGACAAGCTTCTGTATTCCTCTTTGTTTACAGTTAAAAGCAGGTGTTAATAAACTGCAGTGGCCACTTACCTTATCAGGTGGACTATTAGTTCGTTTGTCACTTCAATCTTATTGAAAATCTATTAGCGATACTGGACACTGGGACAGTTATCCTTTATTCTTCGAGTCCTTATTTATTCCCTAAATGTTAAGATCAAAGAGTCCTACATATGCAGATGATACAAGAATGGTAACGAGTCATAAACACCCGAAAACTAAACAATTGTTTTTTATTATGATTTCTTATAATCACGCGGACATTACACATTTAGATAAAATAGTTTTTACGGATTTTATCGCATATATTAACGGTAAAATACGTTCCCAAAGTTTCGAGTACTTAGCACCTATAGTCACTGGTCAATGCCAGTCTGTTTCATAAGCAGGATCTATTGACAGTAAACGCCTGGCCGCCGAGCTCCAACACGTTATGTAAGTTTTGCACGACAACAAGCTTCGGGTCCAGCGCCTACGTCACTGCGAACGACTGAAGCTGGCTACAGTCGAGCGTTTGCCTGCTGTATTGCCATATGTCAGAGGTGACTGATAAGACTGGCTACATCATGAAGCGTTCTACCATTAAAACATACCTCAATCCGCCGAAGAACATTAGTCAGCATTAAGTGTAATGTTCCTCTGCAAGATGCAAGAGTGTACAAGCTACGAGTAGATTGTGAATGTGGTATCTCTTACATAGAACAAACTAAAAGACCTATTAAAACCCGCGATAAAAACACATAATTGATGTGAAAAATCGATGCTTCTCGAAGTCTGTGAAACACATACAGGATCGCCCCCGTCACTACATGAGATTTGATAGACCACAAATCCTCGCTAAAAATACCAATTCTCCTTAAGGATGATTCGTGAGACTATTGAAATCAAAATCATCCTAATTTCAATAAAAAAGATGACTGGGTGCTACCATCTGCTAGAGATCCTATAATTAATAAAATTAAATTCCAACCACAGCATACAACTGCAAGACTTCAAAATACTATAAGTGGTCATACTGCTTAGATCGGAACAAAAATTAATAATTTTAATCTGCAGGTAGCCTTGGTTGACTATGACATTGGGACGTCGAACACCTCAGTCCCGAGCTATAAAATCCGTGAAAACTATTTTTGTTTCAATTGGTTTATATTCGTAGGCATATTTTTCTCCATCGCTTAAAATCCATCTTACGTGGTAGACCCATGCTGTAACTATATTATTAGTAAGCAGTTAGTAGTAGTAAGTCGGCTTAAACGAGTAAGTGCCACGCTCGGACAGAATTCCAACATGAAATAGCAGCTTAATGTGTTGCTATATTTCTTATGGTGAGTGTAAAGTACCGGAGACCCTCTGGAAACGATGCATTCCATCTTCGTGCTCAGAGTTGTCCACGTATCTGCATTTTTAATTAAGTATAGAGTCTATGGGCTACAGCATACACTTACCATTAGATGGACTGCAATCTCGATTGTCATCTATCTCATTTTATTAAAAAACCGAACAAGATGGTTCTAACATCATCTTTCAGACCCATAAAATCTTCTTGTTATTTCCTATGGTTCAATTCTTAAAACATCCAGGGACTGTGATGGGATGGTTGTGGTTTATGACATTACACACCACGGATATGTTACATAGACTTCTGTAAATCCAGATCTCAGGACTAGGTAAACCATTCACACATGCTATTATAAGCTACTAGTAAGTATTTGTAAATGTTTGCGTTATGCAAAACTACAGTAAATTGTAGTTAAAACAATTTTCCCAAAATTCTCGTAATTTACATTTGGGCATTTGTAAATTTAGTCGAGTTATAATTTTTTTTAAACAGAAACAGCTGCCATGTACGGAATGTCTTGTAGTGCGATCTTCAATCCAGAATATTTATAAAATAAACTTGTCGATGGTTTTGTGTCACATCTAAACGGCTTGACCGATTGAGGTCTATTTCACACACATTATACGTAGTAAAGCCACGTTGCAGGTATATTATGGTTGTATCATGAATGGGTCAGCGTGACCGGGGAAGGACCACGCTCTCGCTAGCGTAAAATAGCAGCACAATGCTGCTGTGTTTAGTATGGTGAGTGTAGAGAACCGAGACCCTTTTTACTGGAAACGGGGCACTCCGTCTTAGTCCTCAGGGGTGACAACGCATTTGCATTTTGAATCCTAATTGACGATATATGTCTATGGACCACAGAATCCACTTATCATTAGGTGTACCGTGTGATCGTTTTTTGTTGCCTTTATTCTATAAAAAAAAATCTTTTTTTTAGCTTTATTTAACACCAATTTTTTCTCCTCTACCGTGAAAGCAGTTTACATGTAAAATGTACAAGGACAAAAATCCAGACCTGTCACAATTAATAGGTCATACAAATACATTTTCTGTGCAGGATTCGAACCCTTGACCCTTAGTGCCGCGCCACAAGTCAATCACAGGCAAGGAAGGCAAAGTTTTGAATCAATGGTGCTTAACTTATATGCTATGCTAGGGATCTACAAGAGGCGTTTAGTCAAATTACTTACAAACTCCATATTTTTAAGGAGCAAAATGACTCATATTGGCAATTTGAGTTCATTTAGTGCAAAAAAATATTTATTTTTTCGTCAGCCCGTAAAAATATACTGCTAGATAATGAAAAGGTGATAAAGTAGAAGCTGATGCCTGATTGTAATAAGAGACGATTTTTTAAATATTTTTATTTAAATGTGGTTTAACCCTTTAAAACACATTATCTTTTAAGGATGTAACCTGCTTGGCAGATGCCCATCTCATGTGTTTCTCATCTCATTATTAGGTGTAGTTGGTTATCATAATAGGTGCAAGATTTCTTGCATATCATACAGAGTAGAAATCAAACAGTGAATGGACAGCGGCATCTTCGTGATATAATAAAAAGCTAAGGTCGCCAACCCTACCAAAGTGTCAACTTTACCAAAGTCTCTTATGAGGCATCTACCTTAGATTGCCTTTTAAGGGACCTTGGAGGCTTGTGTTCAGCTGTGGTCTTTATGATAGCCTGTAATAAATGCATGGATAACGATTGCAAGACCTCGCACCATTGACCTTTATCTCCCTCGAGAGTCTGATTAGGTCTACATTATTTTTGAATTGTTCAATACCAAAGGCATCACAATGATGGACTCTGATACCATTCTACCAAACTACCATTACCAAGAAATGTAAAACTAGCAAAAATAGCATCTACGTTATAATATTTTTTCAGGAATATTAAACATTATAATTTTTTAACATAGTAAAAGGTTCATTTTAAATATTTTAAGTCAAAAGCTTCTTGAGACAGTATTAGCTGCTACTCAGAGATGAGAGGCAAACTTTTTTTATCAATGCTTGTAAAGAAAATTTATCCAGCGGCATTAAAAAATAAAAGAAATTTAAAAATTTGTGCTTTAACATAATAAATATGTATTGATATTGTTTAAATCATGGATAAATTTTCTTTCAACTATTAAATGTCTATTAACAATAAAAAGAATATATTATGTTATCTCTTAGTAAAACTAAATCCCTAAGAATATCTACTGATTCTTTGGGGATTCCTTTTCTAAAAAGGTAATTTCAAAATAATGCTCGTTAACGATTTTTCTAAATTTGTTTATAAATGCGAAGAAAAATCAAGTCGTTTCCTTTGTTTATATTCACCGATCAAAGACAATATTTCCGTACTTTTATAAAAGGTTCTAATACATTATCATAAGCTGGTAAGTTAATGTTCTTTCTATTTTTTACAGACAGTCAACATTGCTGATGCATATCAAGATTCAAGGTTCGATCCCTCGGTAGACGAAGATACGGGTTTTAAACACAACACTATCCTCTGTATGGCGATCAAGAATTCGGAGGGAAGAATTATAGGTGTTATACAGGTAAATATATAATATCCGTAATTAAGTTTTAAATTTATTGAGGTTACTGATTTTCAAATGTCGGTTTATAGAAAAAAATGGTCGCACTGAGCTATAAAATTTTAAAATCCACTCTCAGAATTTAACAGTAAGCGTATGTTTTAAACGTACAATGCAGAAAGTTGCGAAATGGAATTAATGAAAAATTCAAACTGGTGCGTACATCTGTAATAAGCAATAGCGCAATGCGGTTAGGGAGCACGGGATTAACAGCGTACATTTTGAAAGCGAAAACTTATTTTTAATAACAATTAATTATATTTCTAGAATACGAATTAACCGTTTCGCAAACTAATAATATTTATGTGTTTGTATAACTTATAACCGTAAGTTTTCAGTTTCATCTATTTTTAGTTTTTTCAGATTTTTTGTTGCATTGTTCGTAAAATTAGGAGATAAATCGCAAACTACTCTGAAGTTTAAAATTTAACAAAAATAATTCATATAATATATAATATAAGAATTCATAGAAATAGTTAAAAGGAATAAAATTGTTATATTTACTTACAATTGAATGGGAACTAAGTTTTACGAAAATTATAGCTGTTCATTGATTTGATTTTAAAATGTCACCGTCGTTTCAAATACTTCAGCACCTAAGTTCGTGGGGGAAAAGTACTTGAGACGTCGAGAATATATAATAAATTGAACTCTTAGTAGAAATTAAAAGCCGACATATAGGAACTAAAAAGTATAAAACATTTTTTCACGTAAATACTTCGAAAATCTGTGCATGTGCAAGTGTCTAGAGGAAGCCCCGACTTCAAAAGATACTATTTCACCTAGGTAGGATCTATTAATGCGGAGGCATTTAGATTGAAGTTAGTCATCAAAGGCCATTTATTTTATCAGTTTTAAGATTTCCCAAAAATATCTCTTTTTTTTCGGGTAAAATATAGGCTTGATAACTCCTGGCATTGCTCTCTATCTATTCGTGAAGTTACATCGCAATCAGTTTAGCCTTTCCGTAGGTTACCCGAACGGCCTATCTGTGGCAAAATTAAAAAAAAATAGTTATTCATGCCTTGACAGCTTACAAATAACCCCTTGAGCTTAAAAGAAACCAGTTATTTCTACATTACAGACAATTTAATAACTTTAGTTGTATCTATGGCTTTTTTAACTGCCTTAACTGCTGAAGTATTGTGCACCTTTAAAATAATTTGCCAGCCGGTAATTTGCCAACCTGCGATCGCTTGTAAACGAACGCCGCGGCGCCATTTGGAAATGTGCGATTATTACATTTTATCGTTTTCTAATAACGTAAAGAAGTATTATGAATAGTAGTACAGTTAGTAGTTTTTAGGGTGTACGCTACCAAGGTATTTATAATTTGTTTTGTTGTTAATTGTACATACATGATTGTAAGCTGTTATTTCTTTTTAAAAGTCACGCTGGGTTTCTTGCTGGTTCTTCCCAGGACAAAAGTTTTTTTCCGTACCAGTGGTACCTAATATAAAGAAGTGACTTTCAATAAGTATTATTTATAATCTAAATTGAATAAAGAAGTTACTGTTTCTGTTTAATTTTAAAACTATTAAGGTCAGTAATTTGTAACACGTTTCTAAGGAGACGAGTAATTTTTGTCTTTCGTAAGACGCTTATTTCGCATTATTTAAACATTGGGTATTATATAAAGTTTAACTCTGCCAGCTTTCGTTAATTACGAACTTTGTTACCATTTTCCTTAATGAAATTATAAGAATAAATTGCTTCGACTTTCGATGACTTTAATTGTATTTTATCAGTGGTAGGTTCTAAACATTTAAAAAGCGGATATTGAGATTACCCTGTGAACATTCAATGTTTTTAATGTAAGCACAGTTGCGCATTGCGACAAGAATTATCCTCTGCAAAAGCCATATGTTTTTTATTTATTTAAGGATACACAGTATCATTGTGGTTGTTTTGTTTTCGAATTTGTTTTATTTCCACTTCGTTTTCAAAATCCGTATACGTTAGAGTATAAACCGTCTGCGTAAAAGATACATTTAAAATATAAGAGTTGAAGCGGTATATTTACTGTAGCAGAGAATGTTTATTAACATTTTTATAATTGAGTAAAACGTTCTTATTAGTTTTAGTTTATCGACAGTTTTCATTTATTTAGTATATTGAAGCGACGTATATATAATATTATGGTAACAGTAAAACAAACACATCCAAACAAAGCAGATACAGATATAAACACATATAAATAAAATTGAAATGTCTCTCGCTTTGAGTATGCAATACTTAAAGATCTGTCGGTAATATCGAAATAACTGTCTTCTATTAAGAGGATACCTTGAAAATGAAGCGAAGTTTTGGGGCCGTGGCTTATTCCTTTGTCGGTGTAGCTAACGGACGACTGCGGGAGTGTCAAAATGAAAGTGATGCAATGACTTTGTAGTACAAAAATTATGAGATAGCCATACCGAGCAAGCGTTCAGAAAAAACTAAGTAAGCGCCAAACAACATTTTTATTTATTTTAACAAAACTTCGTTATGTATTAAAAAACTGATTTATGAAAACTTAGATATGATTATTTACTATGCTTTAAAAATAATTCCATGAAATTATTCGTAAAAATATTGTGGTGTCATCAAGAAATGTAAATAATTAGAGCCTAATTTGCAATTTTTTTCTATCGAGAAAATTACACGATATGGTGTTTTCCTTTTATGCAAACCAAGGCCATATAGTCAAAAATCATATACCAAAAATTTTGGTTTGTAATCTATAAAACTTAAAAAAATTTGTTAAATAGAAAAACCACCAAATTTTCGAGGTATCACCTTAAGCGCAAAGGGTTATTCGTATGGTAATATTAGGTAGACATTTTTGTCTGTCCTTTCGGCCTAATCTTTAAAATAACTGAACCGATAATGATGACAACTTTGTAGTAGTTTAGTAAACGCGCCCAGCTTCTGGTTGCTATAATATATTTGTCTACGTTCGCACGCCATCAAGCAAACGTGCTGGGCACTGACTTTTGTGCTCCGATAATTATTTATTACTGTAGCAAATTAAGTGCTATTTACCGTCAATATTTTATTTTCAATCACACTTGACTGTGACTAATTATCCTTTTCATGCCTTTTCCATTCACACTTATGAGTGAATATTTGGTCGTAAGAATAACACGTCAATAATTGGTGTATGTTACAGCTCGTGAACAAATTCGACGGCTTATTATTCACGAAGAACGATGAGAACTTCGTGGAGGCGTTCGCTATTTTCTGCGGAATGGGAATCCATAATACACACATGTATGAGAAAGCTATCACGGCCATGGCGAAACAGAGTGTGACGCTTGATGTAAGTAAGATCCTAAACCATGTTTAATGTTTGAATCATAGGGGGCTTAGGAATTATTTCCCGTAGTTATTACCAATTTCGAAAGTTTCCTTAATCTAACAAGTTTTTGCGAGATGACCTGCATTAGAATTTCTGCTTCCGCCACAAATTACTATGTTTTAAATTTGGAATAGTTATTCCAACCAAATAAAATATATATATATATATATATATATATATATATATATATATATATATATATATATATATATATATATATATATAATATATCGGCTAAGGGATTTTTAAATTTTAAGGATTTTTTCGAGTTTGCAATGCTTTATTCAACTTCCTTTTAAACACACGAGGGGCGCCTTTTATCCAACTACAGTATGGGCCACAGCATCCACTTATCATCAGGTGGACTGAGTGCTCGTATAACACCGTTATTCTATAAGAAAAAAAGAAACAATATTTGTAAATCACTTAAAGAGATTATTAAATTTTTACTCCACCCTATGGAAACCTACAACCAACTGTAACTAATTAATGCTGCAGATGCCTTACAGCCTGCAATAGAACTGGCTCTCTACACCTTTAAGACTAGAACATAGCAGTGCACGCACTGCTGCTTCTTTACATAAATAAGAAGGGAAGACGCATTCGTGTAACCATGCATTTTGATTTGTAATGAAGGATACATGTAGACATAGAATACATAATAGAATGGGCGGAGCCCGTGTAGCCACTAACATGTCACAAACACGTCAATTCACACGTATAAATTTCAACACAATCAATCGTTTCCAATTTTCGAGTCAAGCGTCGCTTCATGCAAATTATTTAAAAAATGGCAAATTGTGCAAAAATTACGTGTCGAAAGAACAGCGGGAAATGGAATTTAAATAAAGGAGACATATTCTGCAACCAGTAAGTCGAAACTATTTATATTTTGTGAATATTAGAAACAAAAATAAAGAAACATTTATGTGTCAAAAACATTAATCATAAGTCTAAAATGTGTTTGCAGTAGTAATAACTATTATCATACGACGTATTTGCTTGTATGTCTGCTCCCGGCGACGCCAATCCTCCTACAAAGTAAGGTTGACAGCCATTCTATTGTGTATTATAGTATTCTATGCATGTAGATGTCTATAGGCCGCAGCAAGCACTTACCATCAGGTGTACTATGTGCTCGTTTGTCACCCTATCCTAAAAAAAATAGGGATGGTGGTGATGGTGTGACCTACCCTTACCGACTTCTAGGCAGAAAAATATCTAATCTTACCACCTAAAATAAAATTAGTATTTGTAAAAAAAGTTAAAATAATTTGTTTTATATTTAATTTAATATAATTCTATCATTATAAATGAAGACATTTTAATTGACAATAATAAATGTTCTTTCAGGTTCTAAGTTACCACGCATCAGCCTCTATCGACGACGCGCAACGGTTACGGGTGAGTAACATTTTATTTCATCTATAAAGGAGATCTACACTAGACCTGTATCGATCGATCATTTCTCGTAACCCGTGTCGATTACGACCCACTCGTGTGTTGTTCGGGTTAAAAAGATTCTATCGTTTCGATAATTTGGTCGCAGCTCGTTTGTATACTTTGTATGACCGAATGAAGAATGTTAAATGGGTGCTATAATAGTAATAATACATACTACGATTTGTTTACTGGTTGTATTGTTTGTAAACGAAGGAGACAGAAGACATTTTGTTTATTACGTCGTTGTGTGTTTGATTGCACTATTCGATCGATTATATGTATGTAAAAATATGCAAAAATAAAGTAGAATTTGGTTGGTCTTGTCACCTTGAAATCGGGTCATAATATAATATCGAATCTTTTAGAGATCCATGATTCGATCACTCGTGTACAGGTTGCAATCGAATCAAAAAGATTCGATCAATCGCAATCGACACAGGACTAATCTGTTCTTAATAGTTTACGACAGTTTTATATTCTAAACGTCATTAATATTCCAAAACAAAAAGACCAATCCTGATGTGTAAGTATTTGTCAAAAATTGTATGATGTACTCGAGCTAAGTATAAGAAATTTTAACCACATCCGTCACTTAACTACCGCGCATAATTAGAATACATTTTACTAAATATTCAATTACTCAACATTGCAAACAACGATATGATCGCCAGCGTAGGTTGTTAGTGCCATAAGCGATACCGCAATCAACAAAACAATTAGCGGGCGAGACTGTAATGGATCACTTGACTTTGCGATCTAAATATTTAACGGAATAATTAGGGCAACTATGACGTTTCGTCTTCACTGGAGGTCGTTACAATACGAATATGTTGCATGTATGTGTTAATTAATTAACTGAGTAATGCTAATAATTATTGTTGTGCCAATTCTATTCTCTATAAATGCTGGATATGGCCTCTCCCATTCGAAAGGGGACTTGCCGTGAAATATTTAGATAAAACACATCAAAAAAAATCGCATAATATGCGTGCGAGCTCTTTCCGATCGGCTTGATTCACTGGCACTGCGAAGAGATGTATCTCTTTGCGTATTTCGTTGCATCTACCACGGGGAGTGCTCTGAGGAATTGTTCGGACTAATTTCAGCCGCACAATTTCACCATTGCACATCGCGACGAAACTCGCGATACCATCTATACCATCTGGATGACTGGCGATCCACCACTGTGTGATTTAAAAAAAGTTTTCTTCTTCGCACAACTTCCTTGTGGAATCGACTACCACCAGAGATTTTTCCGGACCGATACGACTTAGGAACCTTCAAGAAAAGAGCCTACCTCTTTTTAAAAGGCCGATAACGTATCTGCAATTCCCCTGGTGATGCAGTTGTACATCAGGTGAGCCGTATGCTCGTTTGCCCCGTCTCCTATAAAAAAAGATGCGTTTGTAAATCTATGAGCCTGCAGTTAAAAAAATGCTAGTAAGACTTCATGCGGAGACGAATCTTTTATATCCATGCAAATTTAAAACTTAAAAAAATTTGGAAAAACACAAAAAACATTTCTCTTTGAATAGGTATGTCAAATTGATTGATGATATCATCATTTCACGCTGTTATTAAGACGGCCAAAATAAAATGCGTGTCATGCACGAAAATGTGCATAAATTCACAAGCACATTTGTTTGTTATTAGTGAGTACGTATGCCTGACGTTGTCATTTTTGATAAATCTAATGACCAACAGTGGACTTTCAAAAAACCTGATAATCCGATGTCGTATAAAATATATCACCATTAATTAAAAATCGACGTAGTACTGAATGTATCAGCAAAGTCAAAGTTCAAGTAAAACGGTGCTTGTTAAATAATTTACCACTTAATTCATTTATACATGAAAGCCTATGTTCAGCAGAGAACTTATGATGGGCTGTAATGACGATGATGATTAAACATAAAGCTGACATAAAGCATAATATGGTATATATATAGTGTGTTAGTAATAGTATGTATAATATGGTAAGGCTCCATTTCTGCCTAAGAGTCCAACGTTGCACACGTTTGTGTTCCAATTTGAAAGGTTAAAGAGCCAGTATAACTCCAATATAATTATAGCCCATATTAATATTATTGTAGTCCATGCGCTTAATAGCACCATGAACTTGCTTGGATTTTGGTTTTTTTTTATATAAGAGGGGGCAAAAGAACATGCGGCTCACCCGATGGTAAGTGACTAGCGCCGCCCATGAACAACTGCAACACCAGGGGAATTACAGATGCGTTGCTGGCCTTTAAAAAAGAGTAGGCTTTTTCTTGAAGGTTCGTATGTATCACCACGTACGTCTAGGTAGGTACGTATCGGTACGGAAAATCGCTGGTAGTAGTCGATTCCACAGGGAAATTGAGCGAGGAGGAAATCTTCTTGTAAATCGCATAGTAGTGGACCGCCAATCCTCCAGAGGAATCGCGAGTTTTGTGGCGATGTGCGATGGTGAAATTAAGCAGCTGGAATGAGTCTGAAAAATTCCTCTGAGCACTCCCGAGATGGAATATGCAAAGAGATGCAACATTTCTCCGCATCCGCAGATTGACTTGGTAGACTGTTATCTTGTTTGTCACTCTATGAATAAATATTTTTCCTTATCTTTCAGACTTTACGGATACCATCATCAGTCCATTACAAACTGCACGAGTTGGAGTTTGATGACATCGACCTCTCAGACGATGACACTTTAAAAGCGTGTCTCCGCATGTTTTTGGACCTCGACTTCGTGGAGCGGTTCCATATAGACTACGGTGTGTTATGTCGCTGGTTGCTAAGCGTGAAGAAAAACTATCGCAACGTTACGTATCACAACTGGAGGCACGCCTTCAATGTCGCGCAGATGATGTTCGCTATTTTGACTGTAAGTATAGTTATCAATACCCATTTTTAGCCGCCTTAAAAAAGGAGGAGGTTCACATATTCACGGTGTTTATATTTTGTATGTATTTTACGCGATATCTTTCCCAGAGCTTAGCGATAGCTTTGAGACCCGATTTTAAAGGTTATTCTTTGTTAAATGGGTTATAATTTAGGGGTAGGATATTTTACCCCAAGTATTGCAAAATAGGGGATAAAGTTTTAATTAGTAGCTATATTAAGGCGACATTGAGATTGTAGTTCCTTCGAATCGATATCCCGACTTCAAAAGTGATTTTTTCAAGTATTTTAGTTCTTTAAAGTTAGATTTTACTTTTTGTTAGGAGTTTTTTTTAATTTACCAATAATTATTAGAAAACTATCACAGAAATGAGAGAGGACGTGTGCCCAGCAGTGGGTCATATTAGACTGTAACTTTTATTATTCATAGATAAAAATCTACGCGTAGACCGAGAGAAGTTTCGAAAATTTACCCATCTTCCGTTTATTAACACGACTGTTGCAAGAAACATCATAAACGTGTATAAACACGCAGTGGCGAAGCTAAGGCTCCAAACTAGGGCAAGCCCAATATATGGTTTTGTCGTTTTTAGCAGTTTTATAAAAATACACCGATCTTGATCTGTCTCCACTCTTCAGTTTCATATTCAGTACTGTCAAGGACGTGTTTAACAGTACACAGAAGGCATACTACCGCTAGATAGATTGTAAAACAATATGCAAATGCATACAGATTGTAGTTCTCTCGAATCGATATCCCGACTTCAAAAGTGATTTTTTCAAGTATTTTAGTTCTTTAAAGTTAGATTTTACTTTTTGTTAGGAGTTTTTTTTAATTTACCAATAATTATTAGAAAACTATCACAGAAATGAGAGAGGACGTGTGCCCAGCAGTGGGTCATATTAGACTGTAACTTTTATTATTCATAGATAAAAATCTACGCGTAGACCGAGAGGAGTTTCGAAAATTTACCCATCTTCCGTTTATTAACATGACTGTTGCAAGAAACATCATAAACGTGTATAAACACGCAGTGGCGAAGCTAAGGCTCCAAACTAGGGCAAGCCCAATATATGGTTTTGTCGTTTTTAGCAGTTTTATAAAAATACACCGATCTTGATCTGTCTCCACTCTTCAGTTTCATATTCAGTACTGTCAAGGACGTGTTTAACAGTACACAGAAGGCATACTACCGCTAGATAGATTGTAAAACATATGCAAATGCATACCTTCGGTTACTTTGAAAAGAGCCGTTTGGGTTTGCTTGAGCGAAAGAAAAAGATATTTACATACAATACAATACATGAACAAAAGAAAAGCATGAACAAAGTACAAACAAACTATGTACAAAATTAAAAAAGGGACGCCTGGCAGATGTGAAACATCGAAATTATTTTGTTTAAACAGATTACGACAGGAATTAGATATGGTATAATGAGAAGATAAAGCTTTGCAAATTTTTTTACCATAAAATAATGGCTATTTATTATATAATTATTCATTTTCAATTTTAATAAACCTTACAAAATTATATTTTAAACTCTTAGGGTAATATAAATATTAAATTATTAAATTAGCCGACAGCGTGTTTGGGCCATCTAGCGTAATCTTTACGTACCACCGTGATAATCAATCAATTTTAGTTCGATAAAATGACTTTACCAATAGAATTAAATAGATTGCGCTATTAAAATTTTATATACTGGAATGAGAAGATAAAGCTTTAAGGACTAAAGTAAATACTCTTTAAAAACCTCAATACATCTATTCATTTAATTTATCGCATTAAAATTTGGGCTTCATATTAAAAAAAGGATTGTAACAATTATTTGCTATAAAATTAAACTTATACTTAGGAATCTCATATTTTATGCTGAAGTTCAAAATGATGTTTTTAACTCATATGTTAATAAGTAAGTATTGAGTTATTAAACCTTTAAATACACCTAGAATAATTAAACTTTAATACTAAATAGCCCTGTACCTATTAAAGTATGAAGAAATGTTTATTGAATTAAAATTTCATTTTTAAAGATTTGAACTTTTCCTCGCCGATTAGTACTTTAACACACTTATATTCGTCACAAGAAACACTATTGTCTTCCCATTTTCACTAAAACTCTTTGAAAAAGCATATATTTTTAACATACACAACAAAAGCAAACATAAACATTGAAATGTGAAGTGAACTTGCATACGTACCGTACTCCGTACTCCCACTTGCTAACGCATTCCCAAACAACTTTAGGGCAAAGCACGACTTTTGGTTCCATAGTAATTGTTATATAATCATTTCGTAGTTTTAATTCATTATAGAACATTTTGCCACAGGTTAGAAAGGGAGCGATCGTCTTCTCGAAAGTCCGGCAAAAAGCCAACGCGTGCGAGAGAGACGACAAAATCAACTCCTTGCTTTAATTAATTTTGACAGTCCAGTGTATTTAAAATTGAAAGCAAACTGCCAAGTGTTGACGTTACATATTATATGCTACGAGGTCATGTCCTTTGAAATAGTTTGAAACAGTTTACGAGTTATTTTACTAGTTGATATTATTGATTGAGCATTTTTATACAGCAAGCCCGGCTTCTGGGCTTCTATGAAGGCTTTGCCACTGTAAACACGAACGCATAATACATAACATAAACACGAACGCCTGTCACCCAGAGCGGTAGGCAGACTGCGGACTTCCATTCAGTACGACCCTGATACACCTCTCTCGGCTCTTTAATATTCATTTACCTACGCATTAATGCTCGTCGGTTGAGAGTACTCCTAACCTGGTCTATATTAATATATCGTCAATTCCGTTAATAAACTTTCGTCTCAGGCGTCCATTCCCAACTCTGCCGTATATTTTACGTTTAGTGGCAGATTTTGATAAGCTTTAATGGTTATAATTCATATTGTGTGTAAAATACCTTACTGTGATGAGATGAGATCAAATAGTACCTGCGTACTTTGATCATCAATTTGTAAAATCGTGGTGATAACGTCCATAATCCTCCCTCCTAGGTAAAAGGTAGTCTAGCTACGGAATGTCAAGGGTCTGATGAGGATGATAAACAAAAATATCGTGAACATGACCGGTTCAATGAGATTAGATACTATCCGTTACGTACAAAGACGCTGTTCACTAAAACTGAAGGTTTTTAGAAGATTGAGCGATGCATTAAAACGAAATATTGCCACAGATTAATAAATTTCGTTTACCAAATATTGCTACGGAAAACTAGACTAGCTTAACGAATAGAAATCGAAATACTCATGGAGTTACCTCAATGAGTGAAAGTCCTACAAGTATGGCTGAAACTTCACGGTTTATTGTTTTTATACAAAATTTCATTAATAATTTAAACATAGGTTACCACATTGGGGGGGTTAATTCGCTCAAGTTGCCGTACTTGGCAGGCGACTTGGCAACAGCGGTTTGTATTTTATTTTGAGTTGCTATCAGGATGATGTTGCTGCCTATCTCCTTTATCATCATCATTAGTCTCACGGCACCTACGGGATGATATCATCACCATCATTATAGCCTAGTAAAAGTCCCCCATAGATTGTCACCAAATATTTGGTGTCGTGCGTGGCAGGTGGATTAGCTATCACAGCTTTTTATTTTCTATACGATATTAGGAGACTCCTCTGCTCACCTGGTCTTCCCTATGTCTCTTAGGACGTCCACGATATGCTATGGTATAATATTTCTCTAGAATAATAGATTCTTCTTACTTTGCCCCTTACGAGGGCAGTACTGAAAATTTCGGGAATCAAGGAAGTGACACAACATTACTATTTAAAAATGTATTTATTGCTTTTCGAAGTATTCTCCGCGAAACTTGACACATTTTTCCATACGATGGAACCAATCATTGAAGCAACCGTTCCATTCGGAAGTTGGGGTCTACAAAATGGCCGTTTTGTAGGTGTCTATAGCTTCTTCAAGTGATGAAAATCTCTGTCCACGCAATTTATTCTTTATTTTAGGGAAAGTATAGAAATCAGTAGGGCTTAGGTCGGAGCTGTACGGCGGATGGTCTAATAATTCTATGTTTTCTTGCTCTAAAAACTCTTTTATTCTGTGTGCGGTGTGAGAACTCGCATTGTCGTGATGGAGGATAATGCGGCGGTTGCAGTTCTCTTTACGGAGTTCAGAAACGACCTGTGGCAAACAAATGCTAGCATACCATTCTGCATTAACCGTTCTTTGTCCCTCAAGAGGAATAGTCGTAACATGGCCGGTTTTGGAGACAAACGTGGCCACCATTTTTTTTGCAACACTCTGTAAACGAACAATTTTTGTTGGCTTTAACTCATTTTCATCACCAAATGCAGAAATCATCCGGTCAACACACTGTTTTTGTGTTAAACCACTTCGAAAGTCATAATAAATCATCGCTCTTGAATTTTCTCGAGTCAATTCCATTTTCACAACGACTAAACATGTTTGACAAAACCTTGTAACAAGACCGAGAATCTTTTTTTAAATAAATAAATGGTATTAGATTTTTTAAACCAAAGAGTTTTCAATTAAAAAGATTTTAATATGACAGGAACAGTGGATATATTCCATTCCCGATACTTTTAGTGCAGCCCAAGGCGTACGTTTTTTAATAAGACTGATGATTTTTATTTTACGGTCCTTAGAAATAAAAATGTTTTACATTTCAGGAAACGCAGTGGTGGAAAATATTTGGTGAACTTGAATGCCTGGCTTTAATCATCGGTTGCTTGTGTCACGATCTCGATCATCGGGGGACCAATAACTCTTTTCAAATAAAGTAAGCTGGAATGTCATGAATGCTCTAAACATTCAACTCAATTTATTTTATTCATTACTTTTGTCCCATTTAAAAGATTTAAAAAAAAACCTCGATAATAAGATACAAAATAAAGTTGTCAGAATCCATTGAAACTATCGTGGTATTTTTCTATAAAATTTTAACAGTTTTTGGACATAATAAAATATTAAAAAATCAACCGTAGCTCAATACAATAATGCTTTATTTGTTTAGGGCATCGTCTCCCCTAGCTCAGCTGTATTCGACGTCAACCATGGAACACCACCATTTTGACCAGTGCCTGATGATCCTGAATTCCCCTGGCAATCAGATCCTTGCTAACCTGTCGTCTGACGACTATGAACGAGTTGTTAAAGTCCTAGAAGATGCAATATTGTCCACCGACTTAGCTGTTTATTTTAGGTGAGATTTTTTTTCAACTGAACACCACATGTAATTGCGATACGTTAACAACACGACATCTAACGATTGTAAAAGAAACAATATTTTTGAAAATATTGGTAGTGTTCGTTTCGTTCGTTATCGAAAGCGATATCTTAACACTCTCACTATACGATTTTCATACACAATGTTAAGAATAGCAATGAATATGTAGTACACGAGACAGCAAATGGGTTAACAAATAAAATCTACGTTAATTGTTATTGTGCTATATGTATCTGCAATTACTATCCATCCAGACGTGAAATTCAATGGAAAGTCATTAAAATAATTGTTGTAGCTCGATTGATCACGGATAAATCATATTTTTTACGTGGTAGAGCCACACTGAATTTTATAACATGGTTGTAATAGGAAAGTGTTGGCTCGACCGAGGAAGGATAACAATTTCACAGAAAACCAGCGTAAAATAGCAGCTTAATGCTGCTGTGTTTCGTATGTTACGTGTAGTGAACCGGAGACCCTTTTTACCGGAAAAAGGCATTCCATCTTAGTCCTCAGTGGTGACAACGCATCTACGTTTTTATTGTTAAATAAGAATAATATAGGTGTCTGGCCCACAGCATCAATTTACCATCCGGTGAACTGTGTGCTCATTTGTTCTATATTCTATAAAAATATTTTATAGATATAGATAATTTATTATAAAAATGAATGAATGACAACATGGTAAGGCGGATAGGAAGTCACCTTTACCTATATGTAGTTCAGGACAAAGTTTTGGGGGATTTCTTGTCGGGGACCTTTTATTACGCAGTTATGTATAAATGATGGTAAAATTTTAAAAATCCGGATCGAAACTTGACTTACCTCTAATATTCGAAAAATATTTTAATTTTTATTGTTAGTATAAAAATACATAAAATATGTCTATTGTTTATAATATGTAGTGGGATTCTCGGAAATTACTTAAACGAAATTTTGTGCTATGATAATATTTTACTATACACGTTTCTCTAGATATGTATAATCCCTTCGAAAATTATATAATTTTTCTAACGCCGAACAAAGCTCGATCCCCCTAGTACTAGGTACCTGTATACGACAGAATGTGGGGTCGAACTCGAATTTGAAACGCCATTTTAATGACAGTAGCCCATCTTTAGCCCAGAATACTTGAGTGTACAACGTCAAGTGATTAATAAAATAGCATTTTGTTGTACCGCAGCAAGCGCACGGCGTTCATTGAGCTGGTGAGTGAGGAGCGTGGCGGGGAGCGGGGTGCGGCGGCGGGCGCATGGGGTGCGTGCGCTGAGCGGCGGGCGCTGCTGCGCGCGATGCTGATGACGGCGTGCGACCTGGCCGCCATCACCAAGCCGTGGCCCGTGGAGCGCCGCGTCGCCGCGCTCGTCGCCGGCGAGTTCTTCCGCCAGGGCGACCTCGAGCGGCACAACCTCAACCTCACGCCGATTGTGAGTATAGGGCAACTCGTCCACACTGCTACATTTTTTATTTGTTTATGGACTAATACGATTGTTTGTGGACTCATTCTTTTGCCGGTATCAGTCAAAAAAATTAAAGTTACAGCCTATATACGTATCACTGCTGGGGGGCACAGGCCTCCTCTCATTTCCAAGAGAGTTTTAGAGCAAGGAATTGTTCGCCGCGCTGCCATTGGAGCTGTGGTGTGTTGGCAAACGTCACAAGTCCTTGAAATATTTTTTCTCTTATTTCTCAGACATGCAGGTTTACTCAAGATGTTTTGCTTCGCCGCCGAACACATGGTAAAACAACACTTCTTAAAATTACAATTAACAATTTTATTGATGCTGGCGGGGATGTAACTGGGTTGCTGGGTTACGGTAAATTTATAGCAAGCGCTTAAACTCTGAACTACCTTCCGGCTAGCTCAGTCGCTAGAGCAAGAGATTTACCAGTGTCAAGTAATAATTAATTATCCTAAATAATATTTTGTTTCAAAAACTTGAACATAGGCCTTCCCCAACGGGTGCCACAAAGCATGGTTCTGATCCACCTGCATCCATCGACTTCGTCACTCCATCTATTGGGGGGTAGCCCTGCACTTCACCCACCGGTACGAGGCTGCCACTCGAGAACCTTTCTCATCGATTGTCGATTCTTCGAACTATATGCAGGCCTATGTCGCTCTTGCTACCTGCGTGAAATAATTACCTGAAATCGCGATGCACCTAGGGTGAAATATACGCAGTTGGGGCTAGCGCGTTATACGCGATTGAATGTTAAAGTTTTTTAACGCTGTTTACGTAAATAATTATTTGTAAATATGTAGAAAGATATTATTAATTGTAAGGTTATTATGAAAAGCTTTAATCCCACTTCTGATGTAGGAAGATAATTAGAATGTGTAATTTAAGGTTATTATAGAAATGGCTTTTTAGAATAGAATAGAATCATTTTTATTCAAAATAGTATCTACTTCTACCACTCGTTCAAAGAAAACCTCTGTCCTGGGAAGAACCAGCAAGAAACCCAGCGGGACATTTCTTTTAAATAGAATTAATTTAAATTTATTACTTTACACTACTATGAAATACACAGATAATCAATTGTACATTGTCCTGAGACTAATTTAATAGCTGAGAATTTTTATTGATTCGTCTCCACGAATGCGGGATACAACAAGTGCACTGTGCCATACCAGAGCCAAGACTGCTCGCTCCACCTATACCTATACCTATACTTGTCTTTTGTTATTAAAATATTTTAAATTATTATTACACAATATACTGAAAATAAAACTATCTACTTACAAGATTTTAACAAAGTAGAATAGGAATATTAGAAATCATATTCGAAGTTTACTTGTTGTTTCTTCCGAGCCATGCGCTGAACATCGCAGAACTCACATAGGTGCGAAAATATTGTCAGTCGATCATGGTCAGAATAGGTACTTCACCTAAGTAACTTAATTAACATTTCGCAATGTATTTTTTTTTTTACTTGTTATTGACATCCCTTAGTAACACCGGAAAGTCCGCCGTGACTTAGGAAGGGGAAAAGATGCAAAGTAATATGGACACTCGCGAGCAGGGATAAAGTTTTATTTAGCTTGCGTGCGCGATTTATCAAATTAATAATAATTATATAGGCTATCAAAAGTCAGCAAGTAGTCAACATCAAAAAAGTGTAACTTCTGTACTTAGTACTATTATTTATTATGTGCTATATGGCCGGCCCATTGCTACTTCAGCTTAATAATCCGCTGGGCTATGTCGGGCTCTCTGGTTCTACTGCGAATATCCTTATTTCAATGTTTATCATGTAGAAAACCCCGAGAATAGCCGTCTCCGTAGCTCGCTGGGTGACTTTGAGCTTCCTCATACGGCCAGCAGTGAAGGGTGTTTTAGTTTTATATAAAATTATGATTTTATTAGTAAATATAATTATAAAACAAGTTTTGAAAGCCTGATCAAACTCAAATTTTAATCAAAAAACTGGCTATGGGTACTTTCCACGTTGTGTATAGACTGAACAATAAAACACTAATGCGTCAGTAGCTTCACCGAAATTATCAGGTATAATATCAAACCCGTCGTGGACATAGCCATATTGCCTTTGGCTGCTAGCTTGGTATTTTATCAACTGCTTAATTTTCATTTCATCCATGACCAAGGTACAATAAAAACGTTTTTTTAGTTTAATTTTCTTTGGTGTAGAATCTGTTCGCTTAGATAGACCTCAGGACATGCCGCATTTTGTCAAAGGTGCGACATTAAAGTTCGTACTGTAAAGCACCCGAAACGTCGGGAATCAAAACTTAACGCGATAAAACCCGTAAAATTAGTTTAAGTCATAATTGTAAACTAGTCGAAATTCTAAAATATTTTCAAGAAGAATAATATTGGTGTCATTGGTAATAATAAAACTATTTAATCTATTTATATAATTACATCTAGACATTACCTCCCACAAGTTCAAGGTTGTACCAACCTTGAACTTGTGGGAGGTAAGCAGTATCGGCTAACCTTCTTTTATTGATAACTTCGGGTATGAAATATGATTTATCAAAATCTCCTATGCAGTAATATTTACTGGTGACTCCTGGGATTTTTATTTCATTTTATACTAGTTAATTATTATGTAAAAATCAAGCAAATAGTACTGTAAGTGCTATGGAAGAGTGGAGTCTTCTAAAACTAGTTTTTATACCTAAAATGATCATTCCCAGTTATAATTTATGTGTGATCATTTACTAAATAAACTATTTTATTTATTATTATTATTAAACCAATAATAGAAAAATTTACTATTTTTTGTAATACTTTATTATAAAATCAAAAACCAACCCGAATGGGTTGATTAACTTATATATACTAATAACTTAAATATAACAACGATAACGAAGTTGTGGCGTACATCACTACATTACAGTACTTTATATGATACCAGTTTATGATACCAGTTTAATTTTACAAAAATTGCATACAGCATTGCTACTAAGTGCCAAGTTTCGATTCGACTTATTCGGCCTTTATTTTGTATAATATTTTGATAGAGACTAGTTATCGTTTATATTAAATTATAATATATTCAGTACCGTGTTGGGATTAAGCTGAATATTTAAATCAATTGACAAAATCCACTACACATCTTAACGTAATGATTATTATTCATCACAAACTGATTTAATTGATATGAAATAAATTTTAATTAATATATTTATTTTGTGTAGTAAATTATATTTATTTTAAAATTGCTTATTTTTCACTTCATGAACTATGCTGGCAACACGTGGTATTTTAAGAAAATATTAAAAAATACGAGTTTAAACAATAATATTATATTAAAGGTATTCACATATGAAAACTCACGTTTGTAAATTTGACGGTTTTGATTTTTTTTGCATGAAAATACACTGCAGTTCGGCATTTTTGTCGGAGCTCAATGGACTGGCGCGATCACAATGCGTACGCACGACGCGGACGACGCGGAGCAACTAGTTTTATATAACGGCTATGAGTCGGACTCGTACCTTTTACACAGGGGTATGCCTTGCGATGCCATCTCCTTTAGTTTAATACTGAAAGTATCCCCCCTACTTTACGAACGGCAATAGAACAATAAATTTAGTAGGCATCTTTGACCTTGTCACTTCGCAGGGTCACAGGCTTCTTCTCTGGAGGGTAGTTCCACTATATAGTTTTTATTAAAAGTGTATAGTGGACACATGATATCTGAGATAATACATAAGACTGTGCGTAGGCTGACACTATCCTCGTCACTACTAATGCCATCACCACCACTCCTAGCACTCTCTCCGCTCTCCACACGCTAATATTTATACAACTCGTTCATCAGCGGGTTGTATTAATAGCAACTGTTTCGGCTCGCCGTTCACTTAGCCTTCAGCCACCGCAGAGACTACTTCACCTGTGGATGCCTCGTGTAGAGTCGAAACACGTATCGTGTTATCGAGAGTGGTGTGCCGTTCCTAGTGTGGTAGTGTTGGGTGTGGTGGTACTGGGAGTGATGGCTATGGGGATAGTGCATGCAATTGAGGGGGGTTGGGAGGTGCTCTTCAGACTGGGTAGGACACATCATTTTATTTTATTCTGCGGATATGAGTAAATTAAGTTCTAATAACTTCAACCACATGGATTGAAATGTGCCCGAGAATATTGACTAAAATTCTGGTTTGAACACCTTTAATTTTCCTGCTATGTTCGCACCATTATTATACCCTTGACCTCGACAATCATTCATGTCTAAGTTAAACACTTGTACAATTGCATCAAGAAATAGGCCAGTAAGTCCTTTTCCCAAATAGTCACTTACTGGCTTGTAAGCAACAAAATATTCGTGCTTTAACTTTCTAATTAGCGTCAACAAAACGGAATGTTGGTGATAAGAGGGAGTGAATTGGTGACCGGTGTACGGTGGTAGCGTTTCGGTTAATTTCACTCGCACCGCTTAAGGGCTGCCACTATACTTACAACGCTTCGCTACGGTGGTAACAGATTAATAAACAATCATTTCAAAGCTAATCTCACCCAGTAATTGCAGTTAATTGTGTTCTTTGGACTAAAATCATTATTTTATTTTCAAAATAATGTTAGGAGTATCTAGTTTAAAAGAAAAATATCTAGTGAAAATAGATCGTTTCAAGATGAGTGGGAAACGGATTATTTTGTTGTGCTAAAAACAATGCAGCTACTTGTTTGATATGTCGTGAAAATATTATATTGAAGAAATATTTCGCGTCATTTTACCATAAAACATACATCTTTCGACGAAACGTTTCCTCCTGGATATTCCTTGACAAATGAGCATTATCACCAGACTCCGGTAACTGAGACATCATATGAAGTTTGTTACATTCTTGGTAAGCATTTGAAACTATTTATCGATGCAGAAATTGTAGAAGTATGCTTTGTTAATGCTGCCAATATACTTTTTGATAAATTCGGTAACAAAAGCAAATACTATTTGATATAAAAAAATCGACGGGTTGCACTCCGGTAGTGCCGGCAGAAGTGAAAACTTGAATATTAACGTTGTGCATTTTTGATATTTTGTAGAGTTGGGCCGATTAGTACTTTGGCCGATTAGCCGATTAATCGGTTAAGAAATGGCCGATTAATCGGCCCAGACAATCCCTGTTTTGGTGGTGTTCGGGAAATGTTTTGTTTCGGGATACATTTTCGCCGTGCCGTAGAAAGAGAGGGGGATACTTCCTTTCCTACGCCGCGCCGGCTGTCTCTCTCTCTCCATCCGTCTTACGAATTTTTGATCAGGGTCACGTGTCCTAACGCGAGTTTAACATCTTTTATCCGTTACAAAAAAAGTGTACAACGCCGCTAAAGAAATTTTCACTTCAAATAAAACTACAGCTCTCGGATTCAACCCATATGAGGCGTATTGAAGACATTTCTAAACATATTTGCGATGATATATTGTTTTTTTTTAAATATAGGATAGAGTGACAAACGAGACAGTCCACCTGATGGTGAGTGGTTGCGGCCCATAGACATCTACATCTATCGTCGATTACAAATCGAAATGCAGATGCGTTGTCACCCGTGATGACTAAGATGGAATGCCTCGTTTCCAGTAAAAAGGGTCTCCGGTTCTCTACACTCAACATACGAAACACAGCAGCATTCAGCTACTATTTCACGCTGGTATTCTGTGAAAGCGTGCTCCTTCCCCGGTCGAACCGACCCATTCGTGCTACAACTATATTACTTATATAACTGCAGTATGGCTCTACCACGTATAAAAGTTAAGTATGTAGTTTACGTAAGAGCAAATTTTTTAGCTTGGCATTCGATTCCAGCACCGACAATTCAGCAACATCGTTTTTGTTAAATATTGTACAGAATAAAAATTAATACAGGATTTTTTTTGAATTTCAATGAAAAGTCAAACCCAAGGCACAGATTACCTTGATACTATTTGCAATTTTTTTAAAGCAGAATGAAATTGACATACAAAAAATCGTGTGTCTGTGTACATACAGATAGTTGTCCTTTAATGACTGTATCCGAAAATAGATTTATTTTGTTATTTAAAGAACAATATAATTTCACTAAATAACATTTCATTGCATTATCCACCAAGGAAACTTGGCGCATGTTGTAAATCCAGAAATAGAAGCTGTAATGAAGACAGTTATCAATATTGTCAATTATATACGACCAAGATAATTGAACCACAGAGAAAAAAAAAGAAGGCCCAAATCAGAGTTTAAAAGGTGAGAATAATATAGTCTCCAATACGGCAAATAAAATGTTTGCATTTGAGAAAAAGCTAAGCATTTATCATAATGAAATACAGAACAAACATCTGCCAAATTTTCAAACTATGATAAAAACTGTGTAGAGGACGGTACCAACATTTCGAATTTCGAAAAAGGTTCTAAGATCTAAGAAAAAATTATATAATTTTTATATATATTCAATTTGAAAAAAAAAAATTTGTTACTTAAAATCCATGGCATTTAGAAACGACTTTCTCAAAGTAGGCTTCAGTTTTAAATTGTAATTACTCAGAGTAGTTTGATGAATTCGTCGATTTTAAAAACGACACCATTCTAGAGGTTCTGTTCAAGGAAAAAAGGGGAAACAGGGAATATGTACAATTTTGGAGTATTGTTCCCCAAAAATATAAAAGCGTCTAAAGATGTGCCCAAATACCACTAACATTCTTTGGATCTACATATGAGTATGAATCGTCATTTTCAAAAATGAAATATTCAAAGAACGTATACAGAAACAAACTTACGGATTCTCATCTGGATGATGTAATAAGGATAGCATGTAGCGACAAGCCAGATCTTGAAAAAGTTTTAATAAAGTGTTCACAGTATCAAAAATCGCATTAAAATATATAAACATCTTTGTTAAAACTAAAAGGGAATTTTTTTAGTTCCCTTTTAGTTTTAACAAATGCTGTATTAGTCCCTACTTTAACATATGGTATTGAAAGTTGGGTGTGGCAGAAGAAGCACGAGAGTAAAATAAATGCGGTAGAAATGCGGTCGCTAAGGAGTATGTTAGGGCTGAATCTGAGTGACAGGGTGAGAAACTGTCTGATTAAAGAAGAGTGTGGTTTGCAAGATGATGCGGTGACCAGGATTAAGAAAGGAATGCTTCGGTGGCTTGGTCATGTAGAAAGAATGAATGCGGAAAGACTGACAAAGCAAATATATGTTGCAGAAGTGAATGGAAGAGTCGGAAAGGGACGTCCTAGGCGAAAGTTTGTCGACCAAATTGGCGATATACTAAAAATGGGCCAAATTAAGTGTACCCTTAACCGACGAGCATGTATGCGTAGGTATATGGATGTGGAAGAGGCGAGGGAGGTATGTCAGGATCGTGCTAAATGGAAGTCTGTAGTCTCTGCCTACCCCTCTGGGTGACAGGCGTGAGTGTTTATGTATTAAAACTATTTTTTTCATTAATAAAGTAAATAAATCGTTAACTTGGAATTACGTTTTAAGTAAGACCTAAATAATTTTTGCTTGCGGCCCCCGACACCATGACAGAAACGTGTTTATAGTATAAAGAAAACGTTGAGTAGGGCTGCTCAATGGCAAGGACTATAGTACCTCAAGGCGCCTTAGCAGATAAAAAATCTTGATATTTTGTGAAACCATTTAAGTACTCGTAATTCACCACGTTTCTACAAGTAACTCACATGCCCATACATTAGTACTTAAAACCGCTGTTATGAGTACGTATCAAAATTCATTATCAAAACATTTATTGGAGCCGGTGGATATTGAACCTGGGTTGTTCGCGTACCGACATCTGAGCCGGCACGACGATCAATTTACAGATTGCCGTTGTTTAATGAATTAATGAACAAGTTATTTTATATTATTCTTATAGACGTTTATACAAATAATCTTTTGCTTTGTTTTAGGATATAATGAACAGGGATAAAGAAGATGAACTTCCTGCTATGCAAGTCAAATTCATCGATACGATCTGTCTGCCCATTTACGAGGTATGTGAAGTGAAAATTGTCTGTAATTTATTATGCTCTAAATGAAATTGATAAATGTTTTTAGATGTGAAAACATTTGTACTAAAAAGAAGCCGCAGAACGTTAATTGTGTGTACCACTTGAATTATTAAAAATTGCGGTGACCTTAATGGTGTATAAAAATGTATCAATCATTCGTAAACTTCGTTAGGTTTTTTAAATACGATAAAATTTTTGACTAATAGATACTATGAAAAAGAAATCGGCTTCTAAATAGATACTGTTTCATTTAACAAAACACAACCAAACGTCAAATGTCAAAACAGAGCCAGCCACGCGATTTCCATCAAAGTAACACAATCGCTCTACTGATTATAGACACGGAGACAAATTCCTAATGTTCAGAAAAAATCAAAAACTTATTCAAGAATCAAGATTAAAAACAATCCAGAGGCAGGAGATATTAGAAAATATGTGTACACAGGTTCACTAGTCCCTCCCGTGTAACGTTTAAAACGTTTCGCGGTTTACTTTGGAAACCAAGTTTAGTAAACGCACGATTATATATGTAGGTATATATATATATATATATATATATATATATATATATATATATATATATATATATATATGTAGGTATATATATATTGATCGCGTTGATTGGCAGAGAATTAGAGTTTCGTACCTATAAAAGATAAAAACGGAATCATTATTGGATCACTTTGCTGTCCTTCCGTCCCACCGTATATCCGTCAGAGACCTGTTTTTATTTCATCAGTGGTCTCTATTACATACCAATGGCCAAAAGAAAAAACCACGATTTTAGCGTTTTTATTTTTTATTTACAGGCGTTCGCGGTTTTATCGCCGGCTTTACAACCGATGCTCGACCGAGTGAAGAGCAATCGTGCGCATTGGATTGAGCTCGCGGACCACGATAAAAACGGCTCAGGGAATGATAACACTCTCGAAAAGGAGATTAGCCATGAGAAAAACGACAAATCAAGCATCAGTTCGCAGAATGTCGACGATACAGAAAACACTTACGAAGGTGATAGCAGTGGAGCGGTCAGTCTGTCGTCAGAAACCAACTCTAAATATGAAAACCTCGAGAACCCAGTCGTAGGTCTGGTTTGCAACAACGTACTGACTATGCCCAGAGACCCGAATAAATTCTGTCAATTAAACGACCTTAATTGAAACAATGGATATCGCGATTGTAAACGTGTTACGATGGTTGCGTCCAAAAACCTCTTTTCTAAGGCCAATAGAGATGCCAAATCGTCCATAGGATGTTACGTTATAGTTGTAAGTTTATTTTTACGTTTTACTGATTTACTTCCCTAATACAAGTTTTTAACCATCACCACAACTTCCCAAGTTGTAGAAAAGAAGGTTTAAGTTGTATCTGTAACGTCTTTTTTATATGTTAAGTGATGGATGTTGTAGTCATAGATAAAAACCTAGGGGCATAGACTATTAAGTTTCATTTTAATTTTTAGTATTTATTATACTAGGAATGAAATGGGATTGCAGTTAAATGGCATTTTAAATATGTTTTCATCACAATTTTGTTTTGTTGTAGCTTATGTCAGTGTTCCTATTGGTCGGATTGGAATGGAGGTGTACAGTGAGGGTGCGTGTGTATGAGTGCATTGTATAAGGATTTGTGTGATATTTGTGTAGAGTATAGATGACTTAGCCGAATTCGAAATTCACCCAACGCATAGCGTAACATTCGATTAACTGACGTCTTTTATATACTTCGTAATATAGCTTTATATTTTTACATGAATTTGTAAATGTAAATTGTTTTATTTACCTCATTCGTCTATTCCTACTACGTATTACATGAAAGATTTTCATGTGCCGCTAGTTTGGTATCATTTACGATACGCTTTATTTATAGATTATATGCAATATAATATGAATATTGGTTTCACCACGCCGATCAGTTGTCGCATACGGAATTATATCAGGGCCTAACTGTCGTGACGCTTAGCAAATAGATGACCAAAATACCAAAAATTCTTATGTAGTTAGGTATTGTGCTAAATTATTGATTTTGTCAGTCTTATTAAAACTAATACAAGCTTTGAGTATTGTGATGATAGAAATTGCATTAAGTTGTTTATTTTTAATTTTAGTATTTAAGTAGACATGTTTATTTACATTTCGATCATGTTAGACGGAAGTGCACAGGCGCTGATTGCTATGAATATAAAAAAATGGGGTTATATAATTAGTTTTCGATCATTATATTACATAAAATAGTTTTGAGTGTTTGGGACAAGAATTTAAATGTAACTTGGAAACAGTCTCAATTTGTCTCATTCCAAAACAAGATTTTCCAATTAATAAGAAAGGTATAAATGTAAAAAGCCGGACCTGAATATATATATATATATATATATATATATATATATATATACTTCATGTAAAACAGTTGGCATTCGCTGTCGCTTTTCGCCTTTAACGTGATCATAAGTCAAAATTTTGTAATATCTGTACCCTAATTAAAAGAGAGTTTATTGTTTTTTACATTATTAAGTATGTATGGACAATAAACAAAAACATTTCCTTTGCATGTGTAAATATAAAATGTTAACAAAGTAACCTTTGGTAAGTACTTATTTAAAATTTTCTTAGTCGATTCGCAGCCCAATGTATGTTTTACTTCTGATGTCAGGAACCGCTACCTCGCGATATCTTTTTGTTTTCAGAAAGACAGTTACGGCACCAGCTTTATTCATTCCAGTTTATTTGATTGTACCGAATTTTTAAATTTATGTCGTTCACTAACATTAGAGAAGTATTTAAGGTATGTCAATTATTATGAAAATATTAATTGAGACAAGATTATCAATTTAACTAGTAGTACATCAATAGTTTCTTGTTCCAAAAAAAAAAAACACTTTTAAAGAATTTAAAATTTCATAATTAAACTTACCATCGCTGATATAAAATTTCGCTTCAAATTATTTCATTTTTCAATAGATTATCCAAAATTGAAAAAAAATTAAACTTAGGATCATTTTTATTCTCGTTAATAATAAAGACCAATTGTTCCGTAAAATGAAAATAGATAAAATATATTTTTAATTGGAATAATTCTCTCTATAAGCATTAACTTTTTACATTTAAAAATCTCAAATTAATTGTGGTAATAAAATATGTACAACATTAATAATAAGATTGCTGTAAGTATTATTAGAATGTAATTAGAAAATTAATAACTGTAATTCACTAAATGACGAGTTGTATGGTGTGTGAATAAATATGGAGGTTGTTTTGTTCCAAACAAAAATGTTATTTATTTATGATTAAACAAGTTTTGAAGTAGTTTTCGACTTTAATTTATTTTATTTTGAAACTGACATTTCACATAACACTTTCAAGTGTATGAAGAGAAAAGGAAAATGTTCCAACTTAGGTACTTGTCCATGGTTCCAACAATTGCATTAGAGTGTAGCATTAGTATAACTCCCGCTCCGCGTGAGACTTAAATGATTACTGGTACAGAGTTGTCACTATCTTTTTGTTTAACAGCTAAGTCTCATTTAGTTTTATAAGTAGTTACAATATTTACGAACATAATACATACGGATACGTGCCTATGCATCATATTTGTTACTCGTTTTATTATTTTACTTAAACAAACGCACATATTAATCTATATTGTAAAGAGAAAATAAAAAACGAAATAAGGACTGGTAGCAAAATGTTATGAAAGTCAACAAAGTCTCAAACAAAGTTGATTGCGGAGCGCGGCGGTAGGCGTCCACGACTCGGCCCGATCTTCCCGACTTAGCAAGTGTCGTTGAGTGCGTGCTGTCGCTCGTGCGTACGAGTCACGTGCCAGGCACTCACACATAAACGGCGTTCGATACATTTCTTAGAAGATAGGCTATTATTCTGTTTTTACTATGCTATTACTCCCCGCTTCGTCTATCTGGTCCCCATATCAGAAACATGTGCGCTTGATATCTTCTAGCATGTGGCGTGGCAAACACTGCGCGGACTCAAGTTTTCATATCTATCTACAGGCGAGCTCACATCAGATACATTACAGCGTACGTCTTTTCAAACTGTTTAGTAACTTCGGTAGGAAAACACTAGCCGCAGTTGCTAAGGAAACCGAAACATAGTTGCTGTCAATGCGCTTGCATGTTGATATATTAAAGATCCCTTGGCGTTCCATCCCATCAGTGGGCGCCAGGTTTAAGACGTAAAAGAAATAACCGATGTATGATGTTATTTTTGTGTAGTGTGCGCATAAAAACATAAGGCAACTAGTTTTTTTGCCCGTCTTCAAATATCATCTTTTCGAACCCTTCTCATTACGAGGAACGAATCTGCATTTTGATTCGTAATTGAGCATAAATGTAGATATCTATGGGCCACAGCAACTACTTACCATCAGGTGAACTGTGTACTCGTTTGTCATCTTATTCTATAAAAAAAGGATACTTAAGTGCTGTAATAAACATAGAAAGTAAGTTGACTACGCTTTATAGGTTATGGATATGTTCGCATAATTATCTTTTAAATACAATTTTGGCGAGTTTTATTCGCAGGGCGACAGAAAGTTTGTTCTAGAGAGTGATGGAAGTTACTGTGAATATCCCGTCGTCGCCTCTCATGATGATACTTAATTAAAATTGAATCACATTTATTTTATAAACTAAACAAGCAATTAGTAAAATGTAATTGTGTTACTCAGTCTATATATACATTATACATATGACTGAGTAAACGAGGGACGCGCAGCGAAGCGCCACTAAAGACCTTACCCACTATCCCACTCGCATCCACTCAGATATAAGTTTAAGGGTGTCTGGCAAGAGGTTGCCATAATACTTAGTGTCTAGCAACAGATGATGTGATTTCTAATATTAAGTATTCCGAAGAAAATATGAGAAAAGTATAAAATAAGGTAGGTCTGGCACGGGCTCTTAGTATATTACACTTATGGGCGCCACACACGTTCAGTTAAACTGATCAGTTGAACTGACGTGCATCAAAAATTGATCGTGAGTGTGAAATCATAAGTTGAAATTTTTAACTGACGGCAATCCGCGAAGTTTTCCGGGCGCCGTAATCCGCTGGCTTCAGTTCGTTTCAATTACTGGTAAGTACTTTCTTTCTTAGTAGCTACTTACATTATTTCTATGCTGTTTAGATTTTTTATTATTATATATATTTAATTTCCGACGTTTGGGTGGTTCAACTTTATTTTAGAATGTAACATGTAGCGCGCTCAATTAGATAAACATAAAAAGCTAGGCTATCCTAGCTATTTTCGTTACTGAAAACAGATAAGCACTTCTCATCATAAGGCGTTCAGAATGTGCCAATACTCACGGATTTATCCGTTGGCTTCTTTTCGTTTTTTTCATGCCAAAGCCAAACTGACCGAGAGCTTCGTATTGTCTGCACAGACTGCTTGGGTCCTGCAGGTCTCGGGCCTCGGGGTATGCCCCATTACCCGGGTTGTCCTCGCGGTCCATCACCATGGACCGGTCCTGGTAGCCCTTTCAGGCGTTGTTGGTCAATTCGGCTTTTTGTCCGTATTTGGTAGAAAAATTTTTTCGTAGTCGATTAAGACTACGAAAAAAGGAGGTTGTCTTGAGGTGTCTAAGTTGGCCTATCAGCGGCATTGAGGGCTGTTACTCGACTCTCTAATCGATGACTGGTAACTTGGATGCCAGGACCGGACGGAGCATCGCCCGTGCACATCTGGCTCTGCGGACGACTAAGTCGACGTGCGCAGTCATGCGCAGCGCCCGGTCGATCCGGCACCCAAGGTAGGTCACGGCCTTCTCGTACGCGACCTTCTGGCCATTGAGGGTTAGCGGAGGTGGTAGGTTCCTGAGGCGGCGAGTGAGCAGGGTGGTCGTCTTACCAACGTTGAAGACCATCCTCCACTCATGTAGCCATGGTGGCAACAGGTCCAGCAGACGTTGCATCCTGGCAGTGGCAATGTGGGCTCTTCTGGACGAGGTGAAGTAGGCGCTATCGTCCGCATATAACGCCAATTCCACGTCGTCCTCCCACTCTTGCAGCCTTCCTGCCAGTGTAGGGATGTCATTAGTGTACGCCGCGTACAGGACTGGAGACAAACAGCTGCCCTGAGGAACGCCGGCTCTGATGGTTCTTGTTGCGGACTCGGCGTCCTCTACGCAGACGTAGAACTTCCT